AATTTGTCCTCAACATGAGATTAGGGATCCAACCTTGTCATAACACCGAACATCAACTCTGGATCTAATCCGAACTCTTGAACTAACCCCACCCCAATTTTTACTCACGTCCAATTCTCAACTTTAATAGTGTATGGGCCCGACTCAATGAAATTTATAACCTTTCAAGCTTCTCATTATTTCCTTTGTCGGACAACAGTGTTTTCACTTATAGAAAGATCCACATAGGAGAGGATGATTGTAGAAGAAAGAATTCAATTAAAGCGTGATAGAAGAATGGGCTAGTTCTATGTTCATCTAGGTCATGGTGATAAAAGTTATGATGTGTTGATCGATATTAGGGTTGGGAGACAGGATGCATGTCTAGATCAGGAGTCATGACTTGTGTTATTGTCAGATGTTCGAAAAAGAAATATGATTTTTTTTACTTTAAGATGGGAAGCTACATTTCTTAAATTTGAGAAAATAAATATAATAAAAAGATATCTTAAAAATGCTTTAGTCAACAACTGATGGGTAAAATGAAACATATTTTACTTCATACAAAAACTCATGTGGATTATGCTATGAGATTTAAATTTTTTTTATTGATTTTTTTTTTAAAAAAATGCGACAAGGAAAAAGGGAAATGAGGAGGGGATTAAAACAGTGATGGAGGCACATGCAAGTCTGGGTGTCTGATTGGACACCCGCAGATACAAGTAAATGATGCAAAAAGTGATTAAAAATATATATTTTGGACACTTTTAACGGAACAAGTTGTTGTAGCCATGTAATTGCAAATGTCTTTAATGGATTGAGGGGTGGGGAGGTGGGAGGTATAGGGAAGGAATGAAGATAGGGTGTTTTTTACCCATAGAAGTTTCCACATATTTTTTACCTTCGGACTCGGATCGGCAAACTGAATTAGGTGTCTTGATTTGCAGGGAGAATCACCATTAATGTGGAACGAGACTTGTTTGAAACTTATTTTTTCCACATTTACTAGAAAAGGCAATTTTTTAATTTTTAAAAATCCTTTCTTTTATGATAAAAAAAAGTAAAATTTACTTTCTTTAACACTAAACACACCCATAGCCGTAATGATGTGCAAGATTTAACGGGAGGGATACTTATATGTATTACACTATTTCAAACCCACAATTTTACTCTCTATTCTGTATATTTAGAGTGTAAAAAAACATGTTCTCTCCAACCCTTCTTCGTATTACTCTATATACTCCATTTACTAAGAAATTAATAGTAGTTCTCCACATTTGGAGAACTACTATTCACCTCTCTATTTCACTTATTGATTATTTTAATATTATTTTGATGATATAATTAATTAATTTTATTATTATTTATAGTTATTTTCTAATTTAATATAAACTCTAAAAATTCTATTATTTGAAAATTATTATTTCTATCCAAATTAATAATTTTTTTGTTTTACTTATTATTAGAAATATAACCTTTAAATGTATAATATGAAATTATTTTAATATTATGTATATTATAAAATACTATTAATAAATTGTCCAATATTTGTAAATATTTTCAAGTCATATAATATCTAAGAAGATATTATTGATAAGTATAGTATTTCCATCCCGAATTAAAAATTTTTCTAATTTTATTTTTAAAAGTATTTTTCAATTTAAACATGTAATTAAAAATTATAATTATATTTTATTATGAAGAAGGCATAAAATTTAAACGACAATTCAAACAACCCATGTTTATGCTATACTGATACATGATTAAACTACACTTTTTAATGAGAATGAAAATACTTCATGCAATAGTTAAAAATTGAGTAGGGGAGTAAATAAGTATACAAAATAATTGGATACAAGATTAAATCGGTAATTAAACGATATTTAGCTACAAATAAAAAAATAAGGATAAAAAATTGCTTATTGTGAGCTTCATAATCATTGATAGAGCATTAACGGGAGATAGTAATTAGCTTTAAAGTTAAATATTTATGTGAATTTAAGATAATTTTTACGATGATGAAAAAGTAATGATACATTAATAGTTCATCAATAGTTTCACTTTGATTTGAATTGTTCGCTAATACGTATTATATATAATATTTGTCAAATTTTTGTTATGTAGAATTAAATAATTTATTATTAAATGAATAATTTTAATGATTAAAATTATATTTTACATAAAGATTATATAGATTATAGAGTGATATTTAAGAAAAAAAATTATTTATATGATGAAATAAGGAAATAAAAATTAAAATGGAAATAATAATGTAATATTAAGGAGATAGAAGATGAGACTTTTTTATGAGTAAAAAAAGAATTGGGTTGAATTAGGTTGTCTGAGAAAATAAAGGACTCTATATTTGGAGAGTACAATAGAGGGAATGATCGGAGATGCCCTTATCCAATAAGTATTTCGATTGTTCTTTCAAATTTTTATGTTCTTCCGGAGACATTCTATAAGAAGAAATAGAAAAAAGTTGTGTATATGGGAGACGCTCAATACCGATGTCTGTTTCTCTTTTGGGAGGAATACCGGGTAAATTATCTGGGAATACTTCTGGAAACTAGTTAACCAAAGGGAGCGACTCTAGAGGAAGGGTTTTGAAATCTACATCCCTCAACCTAGCTAGATAGAAGATGCAACACTTAGAAATAATCTTTTTACCTTTAAGACAAGAGAAAAAAATACCCTTAGGCATAAAATTTCCCCCTTTAACTATAGGATAGGCTCATTTGGGAACATAAACATGACTACACAAGCTCTACAATAAACAGAATTATAACATGAGTGCAATCAATACATCACCAAGATAACATCAAAATCACGCATTTAAATATCTACCAAGTAAACAATACTAACTCTATAGGACAAAGAAACGAGACACTTTCCGTAGATCCTCTTAGCCACACTAGAATAACAAACAAGAGTAGAGTAGAGACAAACAAAAGGAACTAACAACTCATCTGGAAGAACATCCAACCTCAAAGCCACATATGGTATCACAAAAGAAAAGGTTGCATATGGATCAAGTAAAGCATAGGCATGATGTTTAAAAAATTGCAATCATATTGACAACCACATCAGGAGTAATTTATCATTCACCATGAGTTTGAAGTGCATAGAACCAATTTTCTTAGGAGAATTTGAACTCGAACTAATAGAAAAAGCTTGCATGCCCTCAATTCCTTTTGTTGTAAGCATAGGGAAATCCCTCATCTTAAGACAAATTTTAATTCAACTAAAGCAACAATCCATGCTTGCTAGGCACTTACACTCGTGCTTCTTTCAACACCTAACACAAGTACATATAGAAAATGATAATCTACGACCATTCCCTCTTTGAGGCCTAGGGTTTGACACCATATATTTTTTGAAGAAAAGAGGAGCTGACAAGAAAAAGTTTGTTAAAACTTAAGATTACCATGTCCATCATACCTTGCATGAGAAAAATTTCCGTCACTAGTTTTATCCCTGATTGTCTCCCTAGACTTTTCCTTAAGTTTCTTCTCTTCGATAAGTTGTACATGAACCATTAGATGAGAGATATACATGATATAAAGGACCATCGAGGTACCAAAAGCTTTAACAACTATTTTGGATACACCCGAAACGAGCTCGCCCATCCTTACCCTAAAATTAGAAACCATTGGTGCAACATAATTACATAGATTTGATTTCCAAAGCATATTCCCTGACACTCATACTTTCTTGAAGAAGATTGAGGAACTCAAGTTCCTTTACTTCCCCTATTTCTAGGGGAAAGAACCTACAAAAAAAGACAACCTTAGACATTTCCCAAGCAAGAGTATTCTATCTGTCATTCTCCATTGTTTCTATTGGTTGACATATTTTGAGTAGCACCTATTAGTTGATAAGCTGCCAACTCCGCCTTTTCCACCAGCATCACTACCATAATCATCACACCTTGTAAACCTCATTAATGAACTCTTGAGGAACTTTCTCAACCTTTGAACCATGAAACTCTTAATGATTCATCCTAGTAAAGTCCCCACTATAGATATCGTTGTACCCGCATTTCGGTTAAAGAGAACGTCAAACTCCCTATTGGCTTTGGATTCCATTGCTTAAGACTATACTGAAAAGCATCCCTAAACTCCGCATCAGTCACTTGCACGGTAAAAAGATAGACCAGATCTTGAGAAGCTTCTTGTTCTGCACTCCCTCATATTCCTTTTGACGTAAGCTCTTCAAGTAGCCATATCTTGTAGAGTATCAGATAAGGGTTAGGAGAGAGACTTTATAGAGATAAACTCTATTGCACAAATTAGAGTAAGGAAAGAAGTGAAGTTTCCAAAAAATCTTGTGGTCTCTCATTCATAAATGTAGCTCGCTTCACACTCATGAACAACACTCTACTCGATAAGGCTGATGAGACATTCTAAATCTTGTGCTTTGATTACCAGATTTATCAAAACCCAGGGGTACACCCTTGATGTAGCATGGCGTATAGGACCCGAAGAGACCAATACAAGCCACTAAGATTTATAATACCAGAAATAGAAACATAATAGGTGAAAGCAACATTTGAAGTAAAAGCAAAGCATAGGTCTAAAACATTTTTCTCATTATCCATCTACACTACAAGAAATTAAGGATTTAGCAACAACTTTATAGCAACAACTATATTATTGTTGGCTTATATTGATAAGTCGGAACAACTTAATTTTATTGTTGGTAGATTTTTAAATTTTCAACAACAATATTTTTGTTGTTGTCAAATATATTAGTATTGTTGCGATATTATATTGTTAATAATAATTAATATAATAAATTTTAAATATTAAAAAATTGCAACAAGGTTTTTGCAACCATGATGATATTGTTGCCCAACATAAATAATGGCAATAATTTAATTAATTTGTTGCTATCTTAAAAAATATTTGGCAACAATAATATTTTATTGTTGCTAATATATTTAATTTGACAATACATATATTGTGGCAAAATATTTTTTTTTTAGTTTTCCGCCAAAAGAATCACGGGCTTTTTTATTTTTGCCAATTTTCTTTTGCAGAAGTTCACAAATTTTTAGTTTTCTTTTCCAGAAGTAGTGCTTCTTCAGTTTTAGGGAAAACTGAAGCTAGGTTTTCTGATTCACTGAAGAAGAACGTTGTTGGCCTGGTGAAGTCTATAGGTGAGTTTTCTGAATGATTTAGTTTCTTTTCACAAAGTTTTGTTAATTCTTGCATATGATTATCTAATGATTGAGTCTCCTAGGTTATTTTCTAAGATTTCAATTGCTTTGTTAAGGTTTTTTTTTCCGTCTTTTTGCTGAGATTAGTGACAAAATTACTACTACTAGTTATTACTAGTACGATTGAGTAACAAAATTGCTAGTACTGTTATTTGGGTGTTTTTGATTTATTTATTTATGTGGTGCTGTGTGTTCCAAGGAAAAAAACAAGACTTGTTTTGTTAGCACAACAAAAGAAAAGGTGTTCTGAAATTTGAACAAAGGCCTATCTGTATCTAACATTAAGAATTGTTAGAGTTTCTTGTGTATCTGGAGGGAAACATATATAGCCATGGCAAAGTATTGACGTCAAATGGATTAAGAGACAGATACGTCAATAATTTTATACAATTCTATGATTTTCAAGACCTTCTCGGCTGTAGATTAATGTGCTTGTCTTAAAATATCAAGTATGCTTTGTTATTTATTCATTGATTAATGTGTGTGCCTTATTTTTTCTGTTATGTGCAAGATATGTTTAGTTACTATATGTTGTTGCCTTTTAAAATTTTATAGAATTCACTTTTTGACCAAATACTTGATCTAACGTTTCAGCTCCCGTTGAAAGTAGTTCACCATTATAGGTTCCCTAAGAATGCTTTGAAGACATATGGCTCGAGATAGAAGTTTAAGGTTAACTCTTCGAGTACTTCAATAACTACAAATGTGATTAGAGCTGAACATACATATTGTGGTACAGAATAGGGAATTGTGACATAGAAACTAAAAACTATTACTAAGCACACTATGATTATCGCAATCTTGATCGTCATCTTCGTCTTGTTTTGTCTCTTCTGCACATAAAAGGAATGTTTGGGTAATACCTTTATGCAGTAAGTCATTTTCAATCTTCTTACTATTGGATTTTGGTAGCAGAACATCCTCTAGTTCCAACATTGGAGGTTCTCTAAAGGTAGTACATAACCATAACATGTAAACAAACCATACAGGAGCCACTATCCAGCCTAGTAAAGTTTTTAGTTAAAACTTATATTTAGGAACTTAAAGATAGTTTGTAACAAGTAGGATACAACTAGACAACATGCCATTCCAAGTGCACTTACAGTTAAACCAATTGAAGCCTTCATTCGCAGGTGCAGAGGAACACAATCAGTGCTTTAACTACCCTTGACAAACCAAGCCCACAAAATAGACGTCCAACTAGAAGTAAGTATATCGAGTTGAAGTCATAAGCCAGTACATATAAGGTATTCCCGACAAGAAGGACCATGATGCTGCACAAAATAGGCTTCGTTTATTTTTTTATTTGACCATGAACGGAAAATACACTGAAGAGAACACATGAGCAATAACCATAGACCCAATTACAACTCCACAAAGAGTTGTTGCAGCTCCAAGACTCATACAGTAGTCATCTATTGTTGGGACTATTATGTATGTGTTAACCATATACAAGAATGTATTTGGCAAATTTAGCAGAAGTGACATCAAGTGCTATCTCTCATTTGCAGCATGATCCTCAAAAAGAGTTGGTAGTTCTTCTGGTAAATTAAGTGCATGTTTTACCAAATAATAAAGGAAATCAGTTAAATTTGTTAGTCTATTCACTACTTCATTAATAAAATCAATGATCAGGTCGTGAAAAGGCAGACCCGAGTGATCGTATATTAAAGTAAAGTTCCCTTTGTTGTCTTTGAGATTCGCAAGAAATTGTCCTCTTTTAGATATTGTATCATCCTGTTATTTCTTTCTTTCACCTTTCAACATACTCAAAGATTAAACATTATGATATAACTACTTGGAGATTAAAAACTAAACCCGCTGGTAATTTGGTATAACTAGAACAGTAGTTACTGATTCTTGATTAGTTGGCAGATTGGTTGCATTCCTTCAGCAGTGATAGAGGTAGCTTCTGTAGAGATATTTTGCAATTTTCCTACCATATAACTTATAACCCGATCAGTTTTAGTTAAGGATGCCAGGATTTAAATAGTTAAAAAGTGTTGCAACTTGGTGTCGTGAATCTTGTTTTAGTGATGAAGGCATTTGTATTCGATGTAAAAGTATTGAATAAGCTAAACAAGGTCTTCATCTCAGATTTATGGGAGATGAAATCTTAATTCAAGGCTTCCCCAATTGTATAAAGAAAGGTAATCCATCTAGTGTACAATATTCCTCCAGTGTGCCACTGCCGCTATCTGGTAAATCGTAGGGATAGGCATACCAAGAACATTACCTCAAAAACCAAGAAAACTGCCCTTCCGAAGGCCTCTCCCAAACCTGCAATCCAGATCACAATCCAAAAAAGAAAAAAGTTTCTTCCCCTACTTCGTCTTCCAGTTCCATGTCTAAATCTAACCAACTCCTATTCCTCGCCTTGTCGCTCGCCTTTTTTAATCGAGGCGCGAATCAATATAAAAAATTAAAATATTTAATTGCACATATAAATATTCAAAATTTCAATAACAATTACATATATTAGCAAATACTATAATAATTACTATAGAAGAATTAATTTTTTTCAATAAAAAAAATGGACAGCACAGTGAAAGCAGTAAGCAGTCAGCATCATTTTACAGTAAACAACGTCTCATTAGTTTTAAGGTATGGTGTCTAAAGAGGAAATTTTCTTTTCTTCTGTTAGATGAAAACATTGGTTGAATAATAAATTTTTTTAGATTAATTATACTAATATTCTTATCATGGCTTATTGTTCTACAGGGTGTAATCCTCCATAAATTGACACGGCTAATGCTAAGGTTGTTGGTGTTGGAGCAATACTACAACCTGTTTCTAGTGGTAAATAGGTGTGATCACAATTTATTTTTTTTATTTCATGTTCTTCATTACATTTTGTAATAATGTTGATGTAATACAGTTTGGTCATGTGTATGCTTGTCTGAAGATTCAGTTTACCAACTTGTTGCTTGTGCCTATGAACTTGTTATATTCTCACTTAAGATATGACATATAACTTGCCTGCATAACCATATTTACCATACTTTTATTCATGCTGTTTCTGCTATATGTTAAAGATACATTTAATATGTCCTAGTACCGTGGAAATTCAACATCTCAATCAATATGGAGAGATATATTTCTAACTCTTCTAAGTGTTTTGTATTGATAGTGAAATATTACATGTTGATTTGAATTTAAATTGATTATCTATTCTAATCTTATCTATTTTATACTCTTTTATATGAGAGGTTGTAGATATATGTCACGACCCAAACCGAGCCGCGACCGGCACCCACACTTACCCTCCTATGTGAGCGAACCAACCAATCTAAACCTT